GTTTACTAACGGACGACATGGAATAACCTAGAAAAGAAGAATTTACTTACGGACGACCTGAAAAGAAGAGTTTACAGTTAGGAAGGGATTATATTTTTTAAAACAAAAATTTCCCTTATTTCTTGTACACATTAGTGTGTTATGCTTATGTTTAAAATCTGAATTTGATTTCATCATTAAAACGTGAATGCTTAATTTATTACGTTGGAATACATTAATTATGGTATCATAGGCAACGAGAGATATATTGATGTTCGCTAATTAATTTGTTTTATATACAAAAGCTCGACCGCAAACCGAAAATTGAGTAGCTATCGCACGATGATGAATAGACTATGTTGTGCAAAGAGTGCCAGCAGCCAAGCTTTTACATACCCATCATTCCTAACTAATCAATAACAAGTAAGAAAATTATATTCGATCGTCACCGAATCTTTTACACCAAGTGCAGTTATGAGCAAATGCGGGCGACTTCTTCTATCTTCAAAACAAAAGTGAAAATTTTATAAGATGTATATGTAGTACTTTATGAGTAACAACCAAAAAACTTGGAGAGAAAAGATATTCACAATTTTGGTTGCTTAGCTCTGTGAACGATGTAGGTGTGTCCTTTGACCGATTTTATATTGTATTCAGATTCTTTTGCCAACTTGCAGGCGATGTCTTCATATTTGTTAAGTATTTTTTACGGTGAATAGCGTACACTTGAGCAGACGGACAGACGGACATACATAACCGCATTCCAAATTTGAAATTGGCCAAAAATTTGTACTCTTTATAGAATTTTTGAAGCGTGCATTGTAAAGATAATAAAAAAAATTAAATTTTGATACAGTATATATTGGGAAGTCATGGTCAATTTTTCTCAATTTGTGCAACTACTGCAGCATCGCCTATAGAATATACGTTGAAATTCATGTTGATTTGTTTTCTGTAGTTTATGAGTAAAAAAACAATTTCTTATTCCTTTTGATAAACAGAGGTGTTCTCAGTTGACGTGAAATTGTAGCCGCGTCCTACGACCGATTTGGCCCATTTTCCATACCAACCTGCCTGCAAGAGCTTCCATTGTTCCTGTCGAATTTGACGTCAATAGATTCATTTTTGCCGGAAGAATGTCTATAATAGACATTACACAGACGGATAGACGGACATGCTTAAATCGATATAGAATTTGATGCTGACCGAGAATAAATATATACCCTATGGGCTCTTTAAAGCTTCCATCTGGGTGATGCAAACGTTTTGACAAAATGAATATACCCTCCGTGATGGATATACAAAAAAAAAAGAATTTTATGAATAGTGGGCATATTAGCGGCATGATAGGAACCGTTTTTACATATTTGCAACAAATTGTAATTCAGTATCTGATGTAGAGAGAAGACGTATAAAACCACAGGAATGCCACTAGAAACGTATGCGGCAAGTTACGGATTTCTGTACTAATATTTGTTACTTTGAGCGTGACGACAACTAAAACAACAAGGTTGATATCAGTCCGATATAAGGCGAATAATGATCTTGTATTTATTGTACACACTTTTATGGGCCACAGATTGTCAAAATAAAAAAATATCCGTTCCTCTGTGAAGAGTATAAAAATTGATACACATATCGCGTCAGTTAATAACGTCGCAGGGATACATATAAACGTCGCCACAGTTGAAAAATCCATATGATTTTTAGATCTTACCAATTTTCAAACGAAATTTGTCAACATTTTAACGACATTGCGACCATTACTTTACAAGTTCGTCTTGCTTTAGTGACGTTACTCTTTCACAACCAGCGTTGACTTGAAAGACATTATGGCGATTCTTGTTTATTAAAAAAACGAATTTGTTGATGATTTGCTGTCTTCTGATGATGCCAAATGCAGTCGTTCCAGAGAGCATAAGAGAAAGTGCGCTAAATCGTTTTTGAAGATCGAAAAGTGAACATAGGTGGGAAAAGCTGAAATCATAGTGCTATCAGAAAGGAGTGCATCCACTAATAGGAATGAATATTTATCAATGAGAAATCTCTGCTCAGAAAGGCTACCGCGTTTGCTTACTTTTCACCAAAAGCAGCATTTCCTTAGAGCTATTTAGGTGCAGTTAAAAGGATCTTTTCATGGAATATGTGAAACGTGGATTCATCACCACACTCAGAATCAAATTGGCAGCCAGAAGAGTCAATGGCAACCAGCAAAGACCGTCCAAAAAAGTCGACCGGGCAAAAAGGCTCACTAGTGAACATTACGTAGCACTGTTGGTACATTTGAAAGGAGAAATTGGTGTTACGGACTTAATCGTCATGTCTCATGTACAGTTGATTCGCAAGTACACAACAACATAAGAATAATTATTCTCTTTTCTAAAAACATGATTTTAATTACATCTTACACCATTTGTGGTGCAGATTATAGTAACTTTTTGCGGACACACAATACCCAGAAGTGCTTTTAATAGGTCCATCTCCTCTTATACCAATCGACGAAAACTCGTTTAGTAATAGTACTTCGACATTCTAAATTGATATGAAAAATGTAGTTCAGCTGGGGCAATTTTCTGAATCTCCTCTTATGCGATCGACCATTCCCACGAAAATTGAATCCTTACATCGTAAAAATTATAGTTTTGAAGATTTCATTGTGAAAATTGATTCATAATAGTCAATTTGCAAAGAATTCAAATTACCGAATTTGGACCTCGTAAACCGTTATGTGCCTAAACTGCCTAAAATGCCTAATTGTTAATTTTTTATAATGAAAGTTTGTTCATAGTAAAAATTTGACATAAAAATTAAGTTAGACTAGATTTGAACCATGTGGGTTCACTTCTTGGAACCCACTTCATATAAGCTTTCTCTTGAATAGTGACCCGTTCAGAAAAAAGTTGAATTTTTAACATTCTATAATGAAAACTGATCCTTAATGGCAACTTAGCAAAAAAAGGAACGATAGGGACTATGAATCACATATTTCTGTTATTTAGATCTTAGGGGCTATCATGAAAGGCAAGCAAGGAGAGAAACTCTATTTTCTCATTTTTTATGACGTGATGTTTTGACCATCCTTCAATACGCGGCCTTTCATGAAAAGTATATGCACAGCACTTGTATGAAACTAATATGTGTCTTTTGATGCACTATTACCAAAACGAGTAAATAGCCATACAACAGCGAAATGGGTTACGGTATTTAATGGTTGGCCTCGCCCGACTATAATGTTTTTGTTTAATTTTAATTATTGTTTATTATTTGTCTTTATTTATTCATTTTTTGCAGAGGCTTCTTGTGATGATGGCAAATTCCGGTGCAACAATGGTAATTGTATACCCAACAGATGGCGTTGTGACCAAGAGAACGATTGTGCTGATGGTTCTGATGAATTAATTTCAATGTGCAGTAAGTTTATGAAATTTTTCTTCTTAAGGCTAAAAATTGCTAAAAATTGCTAAAAAAGAGAAAAAAAAACAAAAACGTATAACAAAATATTATGCATACTACACTTACTTACACTTACACTTTTACATCTACCACAAGAGATTTATGATATTGTGGCTTAGTAATGCATGGGAGATCGCAATAAATATGTTTTGTCAATGAAAAATTTCGTGACGTTTTTCGCTAAAGTCGATTTAGACGCATCATCCCGCCTATGTGTTTTATTGCCCTACTATATATAGGCCTCTGCCAGTCTATCTTAGAATGTTTTTTTAAATCATGATTAATCTCGAATATTTTCTCTTCCCATCAGACCCCATTAAAAAATCGTCCTCAAAATCAGTTAGGGTCACATTCAAAATAAAAGTCATTTGGTTTTCTCTTTTCTCAAAAGAATTCGTTCAACGCTCGGTATATTATTTTATACATTTTTATAACCTTTACCGAAGAACGAGAGATATATTCAATTTGTCAAAATATCTGCAACGGCCAGAAGGATGGTTCATAAATTTCGATATAAGCATATCCATCTGGCTGTCTGTCCGTCTACTGTAAACATTGTCCTGGTCACAAAAATGAAGCTATCGACTTCAAATTTGGTATAAGCATTGAATAATCTTGCACTCAGGCTGGTACTGAAAGTGGGCCAAATCGGTCGAAGAAGACGCTTACAGTTCCACATAAACTGCGAAAACCTTGTGATTTTCACAAAGAAAAAAATTGTTTATTTTGCACATATCTCATAAACTAAACTAAACTAATCTACCAAAAAATTGAACGTGCATTCTGATGGCCAAGTTATAGTGCATGTACAAAAACGGAAAAAAATAGCCACGCCTACCCAATATTATAGTGCATCAAAGTTTAATTATATTCTCAACACCTTTATAACGCGCAGAACCAAGCTTCAAATATCCCTCGGTCAGTTAAACATTTTCCAATATTCATAAAAAAAGAGATATCGCCAATCAATTTGGAAAAGAACTTGAAAACGACCCAAAATTTTCAAAGGACATGCCTATAATGTCGGCAAGCCTATGTAACAAAGGCTGTGAAAGCCTTCTTTGCCTGTTACTCGTAAAGTACCGCATCATGTAAATTTTGACTTTTATTCTGGAAATGGAAAAAATCAGCCGCGCCCATCCAGTACTATAGGGTTTGAAAATTTCGTTCTTCTCTTTTTTGTAGACATGTTTAGGATAATGGTGTTGAGTTCATGATTCTGTCACAACCGAACAAAATTTATTTAGTTGCTCCGTATTGAGAATTGTTGCTACTCGGAAGCAAGAGGCAAATACAGCCCAGACGGTGCCGTGCCCAACTATTACTATATCAATATTTTACGTAACCAGTTACCAGCTGGTTGATTAGTACTTCGTTCTTTGCAATAGTCTATGAGAGAAGAATGCTTCTGCCAGTGTACACCTAAGTTACCTTCAGAAAACTTGTCGCCAAGTTATAGAAAGTCCAAGCCTTAAACTTTTCTTCGCCGGTCAAGATCTTTTCCACTAATTACCACGAGAAGGTGAGAGTTTCGGCATATCTATGCTCCCTCAAAAGTATAGTTTATCACCCCATTGAACAGTAAGAGAGATGCAAAACACATTGGAGCAACGATAGTTGTCGCAATTGTTTAAAACATCAAATAAGAAGAGAAGCCAAATGTACGGAAAACGGTTCTGTTCCTCAACCTTTCCAGTTTACTTTAAAAGTATGAATAATTGCTGGCCTCATTCATTGATTTTAGTGGCATATGATCTGGAGGAAGATTGGAAGAGAAAAATATTGAAAAATCTCGCACAATTGCTTTGAAACTTTTTCTTGCGCTTGCTTTTCTATGCTTGCACAAGCCCTTCGAAGATTAATAGACATTGAAGTTATGTTTGTCTGCAAAATATTTGCTTGCACACACAAACATACGTGCAACTTACAAACGAATATGAGAAAGAGCATCTGTATCTATGGATACGTCCATTACCAAAACTGTTAAAGAATGTGAATACAATAAGAACCGCAAACAAAGGCTGCTGCTCTGTGTTGATTGTTTGTCAGTAAATTTACAAAGAATGAAAAATGATTTCGTTATACACACACACAGACAGACCAGCCAATGAAACTAATTAAAAGCTTTCTGAAGCGCTATCAAAGCCTATTATGCATTTCTATAGGGCTTCAAACTTATGTAATATTACAATATTTAATAATAATAGAAAATTTGGAATAACCGTACAAAATATTCTTTTCGTTTTATACCCACCACTGTAAGATGGAGGTGTACGCATTTTGTTTTTCCCCATAATGTGTGCAACACTCAAAAGGAAACTTCAGAGATCCTATAAAGTATATATATTCTTGATCGCCGTGAAATTCCGAATTGATTTAGCCATGTCTGTCCGTCTGTATTTCTATTTGTTTGGCACTCTCCTGATTGCAAAAACGAAAATATCAACTTCAAATTTATGAGAAACATTGAAAGCTTTTGCGAGCGGCTTGGCATTGAAAATGGGCCAAATCGGATCAAGTTACAAGTGACTGAACTTTGTTTTTTTCACTTTTTTCAATCAATTTTTTATCAGAAGGCAAACAAGACCGTATGTTTAAAACTATTTTGTACACTTCCTAAATGAAGATATGTTATCTGCTTAAAAATGGGTTAATATTAAAGTGAATATGGTAGACACCGCGATTTGTTTCTTCTTAATAATACTGACGATATGGGTATCAAATAAAAGAAATTGGACAGTAGAATGCGAAAAACATAGTGGTGGATATGCGAGATTCGGCCCCAGCCGAATATAACTTTCTTAATTGTTTTTCTTAAATTTATTTCCCTAGAAAGCAAAACATGTTCACCTGACGAGTATACCTGTAAATCTGGCGAAGGTGAATGCGTACCTCTTCCCTGGGTATGTGATCAGAGTAGAGATTGTTCGGATGGTTCGGATGAGACCTCCTGCTGTAAGAAATAAGACATTTTTTAGCCCTATATATGCAGTTAAAAATTCCCAACAAAATTTTGTTCCTGGTATTTTTTTCTTTTTTTTTTGTTTTGCTTTGTACTCGTCACGAGGTTATGTTCAATTTGAAGAATGTATATATTTTTGATTAGCATTACTAGAAAATTTGAACTGGTGTCTACTGACTTTTAAATCTCCATCTTCCCCGAATTTTTTTCTTCGTGGGAGTCCACAAGAATGAAATGGGGATTAAAAAACAAAAAGGATAGCATATTTAAAGTTGGTTTTTTTTTGTGTAGAATGACCAAGCATGCAGGGGATCTTCGTGTAATACAATGATGATCGGAAAAAAATGAGGGAAGAGAACGATAAAGATAGAAAGGTGGCCGATAAAGATAGAAAAGGTACGTGTCTAATTAGCATTCACTTTAGCTACGACTAAACTCTGCCGCATTGAGATTTGAACTCACGAACACTGGCTTCGGTTTTACGTTCTCAACTATTCATGCTATCCAGCTGGAATGAATGATACGCATTTGCATTCGGATTATCCATACTTTCTGGGAAGCCACCCAACTACCCTTTCCGCCGAATTTATTGTATAAGGAGAAAATATCAACCCGGCGCATGCCAGGCACATTATCGCCCTCCAGAATCTTTAGGTCTTTCCACAGCCATGTGTTTATACCCCGGACCTCCACTAAAGCTGACTATGCGGTAAGCAAGTTTGCAAGCAATTAACTCCCGATACTCTCGATGACTCTCCAAGAAAAGCACCCCTGTCGCGGGGGTAACTTTATTCCTCACAGTATGCTCTATTCCTAATCATAATTTTCTTTCCATTTTTCGGACAATTGAGGAATGCTTCGTTTTTTAAAAATTCTCTCCTTCTGTCGCGAACTCTCTTTCTTCACAATCTCGCACGAATCAAAGTGCAAAAATTAATAAGAGTTGGTTCGAAAGAGCCAAGTCTACTGCTAGCATGCGCTAGCACTTCTTAATTGAATGCTTGCAAAGCATCTGGAAATAAGAGTTAAAACATTGACAACGGTATTTAGAAAAACATGTATTACACGAGATACGATTAACTTTATCTTACTTCAGGTTTGAGTTAATGATAGGCGCTTAAAAGTTCGGTGCAAGCAGAACATAAATTGCTTCTTTTGTTTGCCTGTAACTGAAAGTTTCATTTAATTCTTAAAATAAAAATTTGTTTTTCCAAATAATCGAACAAAATATTAATTATCTTGTAACCCGTATTTGTTTTTATAATTTATTTTATTTTCATTACTTTTCCGGGATTTGTATGCCTTATATCTATTTCCCCTATAAATAATCAATAAAAGAGAATTGTTTTTTAAATTCTTATTTTTTTATTGAAATTTTTATTCATATTAAAGACGATACATGTCGTTCAGATGAGTTTACTTGCGGTAATGGTCGTTGCATACATAATAGATGGAAATGTGATCGGGATGATGACTGTGGAGACGGTAGTGATGAGAAAAATTGCCCGATATTATCGTGCAAGGACGAAGAGTTTACATGTAATACAGGCGCTTGCGTGCATCGTCGTTGGCGCTGCGATGGAGAAAATGATTGCTCAGACGGTTCTGATGAGATCGTAAGTTGTAATCAACTTTAATTCATTTTGGTTTTATACGAAGGTTCTATTAACTTTGTGCAAATGTTTGCAGAACTCAAAATGGATCCAAGTTGTATTATACCGATGCTGGCTGTCCCTCTGTCCGCCTTGTTTTCTTATTTTCAACCGATAGGTCGCCAGGTCGAGGTCGAGGTATATGTATATCCGTACACCGACATTTTTTGGGCCGAAGACAAACGAATCGGACCACTTGTATCGAAAACTTCTAATATGAGACCTTACTTTAAAAAGTCGCATTTGAAAAGGCATTTGAAATGCCAATAGCGTCAATACGGTCCCTTCATCTTAAACGGCGATTGCTGAGCATCGAATTTTTGACTTGTTTGATGTGACTTTCATCGGTAGAGATTGATGATCTTCCGGGACGCTCTTCGCCTTCAACATATTCTCGACCTTCTTTGAGTTTTATGTACCACTTGTGAACATTTCTTCCCGACAAACTCAAAATTTCTCTCTGCAACACCCTAATGACGTTTACGACCCGAAATTTGTCACAAGTGTCCCTTGTGTCGTAATGCTACCAATTTAGGGAAATTATTCCTGATAATCAATATACCTGCGCAATTTAACCTGAATATTGATCACAGTATTACAAAGCCCGGTCATAAAATTATGCAACTTATTCCCGTATAAAAATATTACATTCTCTAAGTTACTTTAGTGGGCCTTGGTAGCCCTACGGTCAGCTATCATTTGTATTAGATTTTTTCAAAGGTTTCTCTGTAGTTTCAGTTAATTGTCTTCTCTCAAGAAGATCGTTACTTCTTACCTTCGATTTCTTCTCTTAACATCAATTGCTAAACAAATTATGTTCTAACAATAATTTAACGAAAGCAAATTACTTTTATAACCTTAACGTTTCATTTAACACATTGAAGACGGTGTGCATTGAGCAGTGTGTGGCCTAAATTCCCGCATAGAGTGTAACACTAACATAAGTTTAATGTTTTAATGCTACTTCCAGTATTGCTTTGGTATGATACGTTTGAAAACAAGTTCCATGATGGAGAGGTGCTGAGCAAAATTTGCAAATATATCGAGTATCGCTCCTCTTACTACTTTTTTGTTTGCCTTTGCTAACAATTTTTTCTGGAACATGTAGTCACATATTCAATGACAATCGTCCTGTTGGATCCTGATAAGGAGCATGTCTGCTAGCAGTAGAAGGTCCAGATTTTGCACCCGCCACTACATCTTCACTAGCCCATGTTTTTGCAATTTCTAGTAAGAAAATTTTATACATTATTTTGGCTGTAGAGTTTAACCTTTTGTTTACGGTCCAAAAGACCCCTTTTTTTGGCCACTTGATCATTCTACGGAGTATTAAATAATAAGACAAAAACTGATCTACTCTATCCACACCTTTCATGAAAGTATTATATTTATCGATACAAGCAGACTTTGTTTTTATAGTACCATTCCGATATGTTTTTTCAACTGTGCTAGCGTCATGAATAGTTGAAATCTTATGAACTAATCGTTTATTCTTCCATGAAAGAAGCAGAATCTCACCCTTATTGGTTTCATGTGCTCATATTCTCTTTACTAGCAATTCTAGTTTTTAATACAATATTGCATGAAATTCCAAATGAGGTGAATTTCCGCCATCTGTCGCTAACAGCTAAAAAACAAAACACGGGAAGAGAGGAATTCACGGTTCCCGTCTTCAATGTGTTAAGATTTTTTAGTTTGCTTAACGGTTCTTCAGTTTTCTAAATCTTCTTCATTTATCTTTACAAGTTGCGAACACAACGTATAAATTTCCTCACATCTTTTTCGATTCTATTTTGACATTCTATCGCAGGACTGTTCAAATCTCACTCAAACTATTAATCTTTGTTTGCGTTTGGAATTCCAATGCAAGGATCGCATCACTTGCATCAATTTGGATTGGTTATGCGACGGCGAAGCCGATTGCCCAGGTGGCGATGATGAGCATCGAGAAAATTGTAAAAATAAAACTTGCCGTAACGATCAATTCCAGTGTGATAATCTTTCATGCATTGCCGGCCTATTGGCATGTAATGGTGTAAACGATTGTCCCGATAGAAGCGATGAACGCAATTGTGGTATGTTTTTCTAATACTTTTTCATCTAATTTCCTTATATCTCATGTTCTTCTCATATAGATTTTCGTAAACAAACTGTGTGCAATGCCAGCACGCATTTCGATTGTGGTTATGGTCAATGCATATCTCTTGCGAAAGTTTGCGACAAGCAAAAAGATTGTCCCGAGAGCGAAGATGAACCTGCAAATAAATGTGGTGTAAACGAATGTTCGATTAGTAATGGCGGCTGCATGCATAAATGTATAGATCAACCGATTGATTATCGCTGTGAATGCGAAACAGGGTAAGTCATTTTTACAGCGAAATGTAATAAAATGTGTGACAAGCAAAATAACACGGAGCAATACAATAAGAGTGAGACAGCGATGGCAAATGAGTTCTCATCGCGTTATGTTTTTTAACACTGCTCATGCACATATTCATACGAACTTAATTTCAATATCGTGCAACAATTAAAATCATTATTGTTATTGTTGGGAGTGATGTCAACACTACAACATAACACCTTTTTATATATATTTTCAATTTTATATTTCTTTAGTAGATCTCTAAGTATGTTCACTGCTTATACATTCACCTGAAGCGGACGTTAAGTAGTCTTGAACAAAGTCTTCTCCGAAATAGTAACCTTATCTACTATAATTATCGGATAGCGCTGTCTTCCTCATAAAGGCCTTTTCATACGTTAACATAATTGGAATCCAACTCGCTACCAACCCTTATATTTTTCCATTGTTGTGAATTTTTCTTTTTTATACCCATCATCGAAGGCGGAAGGACATATTTATTTTATTAAAACATTTGCAATGCCCAGAAGAAAGCTTCAAAGACCGCACAAATTACATATATTCTCGATCTGAATCGATCTAAGTATGTCCGTCTGTCCGACTGCAAAGTGTCGGCTTTCTCCTGGCCGTAATAATAACAATTTTCTAAACACGTTGGGACTACTTACACGCACGTTGGTATTGAAAATAAGGCAAATCGGCTCAAAGACATGCCTGCAGTTCTAGAGAACTGTAGCTAATCAAAACTTATGACAAACTTGTAAATGAATGCGGCTATGCAAGCATGTGTGTCCTATTGCATTGTATAATAAAGCATTTCTCACTCTCATCTCTCCTTACCTACAAAGTACTGCAATAACATAGGCAAACCAAACCAAAACACAAGCACGCATACTTCACAGGTGAGAAGAGAGCCGCACTTAAGATAGCAAAGTGAAATGTGAAATAATTGAAAGATCATTACACAAATGAATGGAACAACTTGGGTGTTTACCTATGAAGACATCGTTTTAAATTTATTAAATTAAATATTTAGCTGGCATATTATATAGAGTAATTTACTTGCTTTCTTAAAGGATAGCAGAGAGTAACTCCTCCTGAGCAATTAAGTTATCAATGTGGTTTAAAGTACATTTGCAGTTGAACTTGCACAATGCCTCACACGTTTACGTTTATTTGAAAGAGCGTAAGCGGGAGCTTGCTGAGCATATTTAAAGGAATTCCATCATAGTCTTATCAGCAAGTTTTCGAGCAAGCATTCGAAGACAGTTTGTTTGATTTACATTCTGTTTGAGGAAGTCCCCACATTTTTCCTTAATCCATTCAAACTGCAATAAATCTGCTGTAGACAACAACGTTTCAATATTATCTTTTGTAAATGTGATAATTCCTGTATAGACATATTCAGCCAATGGCTATATAGATATGGCGTTCGTATCCTCTAATTTATGAAATTCCTTCATTTTTTCCTGCAAATCGTCTATAAAAGTTTGGAAGGTTTAGGTAATTCACTGTAGTATGGTGTATTTGGGAGTGCACCCTGAAGCCGCTTACTTTCAAACATTACCTTATAAACGTAAATAATTCCGCCATCTATGTCTAAAGAAAAACCAAAGTGCTATGAAAGCGAATAGTGAGTTATCTGTAAACTTCAACAAGTTATGGTTTACATATGGTTTACCTTACCTCACGATTGCTGCGCATTTTATGGGCAATGGTGGCAAAGTCGAAGTTTTCACATTTCTGTCTAAAGATTGACTTAACTTCATCTGTTCTTTTAGTGGCCATGTTACACTGTTAGAGAGTGAAAATAAAGTTATGGAGTTTAACTTTGAATATTTTATATGTCTTCTGTACCAACAGTTAAGTAATTCATTTAATTGCTGTTAGATGAAAATATCGTATCCTTATTGTCTCTTATCTGCAGACCGATAGCGAATACGCAGAGTGTGGCAGGGTTCTGGGCTGAAATCTTTTGGATGCCGTGGTGTTACATTTGATATGTACCGTCATGTTTCTTTTTTTTTCGTTTGCTCTTTATTTATTTAGATGTATATTTATTCACAAATAAAATTCAGCTGCAGACCGGATTAAGTAGACTCTCTAAAACAAATCTTATGCCAAAGATTGAAGCTTAATATTTATAAGGTATAAAGAGAAAAAGATGTGAAAACATTGTAGTCGGGAAAGGCCAAACACAAAATATCCCACATCATTATGCCTAAAAAGACCTTTTATTTGCTTTCTTCATAAAATGCCACAGATTTTTCTTTGCTTCCATGTAAAAGCACACATCTAATGGCTAATTTTCATGATAAAATATTAGAAAAAGGCAAAGCGTTGCATAAACCTACCTGGTCTATGTGGCCCACAGTCAATGCTGTTAATTTTTATGTCAGCTTGCTAATATGAGCCAATTCTTACTAGGAAATATTAAAAAAATTTTATTATGCGAAGACTTAGTTCTTGTAAAGGTAGCTATATGGTAGAGGCTTCATAGAATTATCGCATCCAATCCGTATTTTACATATAAACTCAGCACACGAAGATTGCATTGCTTAGCGATTTTTGTCGAGAAATTCTAAAAATTATAATTTGTTTTATTGCGGAAACTATTTTTTATAGGCGCACTCAAACCTGCACAAAAGAAGACGGTACAAAAACAGGTTTGAGTTTAAAACGTTATATGGAGAGTGTAGTTCGTTCGAATTAGTTTTCAATAGGGTTCGTACTTACGCAAAACGAATACGTCAGTATACCAAATGGTGACCCTTAGTTTGGACCCAAACGTACGGGAACGGGCATGCGGGACAGAAGGACAGATAAAGTTAAATCGATTCAGAAAATGATTCTACGTTGATTGGTAAATAACAAAAGTCGCGTTTATCTGAAATTCTCCTGAGTGTTACACACACAATCTAGTCTCATTATGGACGCATATAATATACCGGCTTATTAGATATCTGTTCTTATGTACATTAATGAATATTCGCAAGGAATAGTGAATAGTGTTATTTAAATTCAGTTAGATAAACAAATTAATAGAGCCTATTAAGTATTCAAGATTGCCTTCCACAACTGTACGTGGAGAACGTGTGTAATCAGTAAAATGCTTTTGTTTTACTAATAGCTACAAGTTATTGCAGAAGCTATATAGTCTAGAATTATCAACAGAACAGATCTCTTCACTCCATATTCAGAGATGGACAAGTGAATGTTCCTTTCTTCACTCTTCGTGTCGAGAAAGCTACGCATTCTAATCCACATACTTCGCATATGCCTGGGTAAACTTCTCCTTATCTTTGTTCGTAATAGATTTTTTCTTTTAATTTATATTGAAGTGAATACTAATCTTCCTGGGTAAGCTAATAGTGTTAAAAAGCCTCACATTTCTGGAGTAGATTTTTTTTTTCAAATGCAGGTTAATAATAATTTTCTTTCTTTCACAAATACAGTCAAGTTCTGTGGTCTACTTGCTGCCTACCTTTTCTAAAAAAAAATTGGCAATTATATTTAAAACAAAGGCCAAATGAAGTGTATTGTGCGTTGTTATACAATCACAAAAAAAAAAACAGTAAGAACATTATGCTAGCGCAAGGCCAACTATTAAATACCCTACACCTCATTTTATAAGACAATTTATTTAGTCTTTTCTGCTCTACAAACGATCGTGAAAAGGATCCAAAACATAGGCCGGGGTGGTCCAAATTTAGTATAGTTAATTTTTTTATGATATAATTTCCATCATGAACTCTGAGTCTTTTTTTCGCCGAAAATCTTACCTTTTCGAAACGCATAAACGGCATCAATTCCCATTTATTTGCTCGTACATGTAGGCGTTTAAAGTCCTTACTTGTAAGACAAAACAATGAGCCATTATAAGGAAAAAGTTCATGTCGTTCTTCGGGGCCTCCTGCTCTATCGCCTAAACTATACCAAGTTATTTCTCTCGGATCAAAACAAACGCACGAAGTAAGCCCATAAGATCAATGCGATAAACTGTAAATCCTACTTTCGATAAGTGCTGCACGATTCCACCAACTAGATAATTCAGGCATATCCGGGCACGGATACCATTTATTCGTTTCAGGACTCATAGTATCTTTCGGTACTCATAGTTCCCTCACCGCCGACAACATAAATCGAATCATTATAGGCGCAAATTCCAAAATCTACGCGGGCATTATTCATCGGTGCAATGTACTTCCATTTCTTATTAGCCAGATCATAATACTCTGCGGTCCTTAAGCTTTTACCGCATTTTCCACCCACGGAGTAAATAGTAGCGTTTAGGGAGATTGCAGAGTTATTCCATCGGGGCTCATTCATGTACGAGACAGAAGTTAGTTTACTTTTCGATACATCGTAGACCTTGCACAAACCATGTACAAGTCTATTGCTATCGCCAACGAGGAATTACGGTTTCACATTCTCGAACTTAGTAAATGAAAGGAAAATGCAGTATGTTATCTCAAATTCTAGTCTTCCTTTGCTTCTCTTACTTACCTGCTCGAAAGGTAGCAATAGTAACTCCTCTTCATTTATTAAGTTATCAAAATTATTTAAAATATATTTGTGGCTGTAGTCGTGAAGATCCTTAAGAGGATGCATATCTGAAATGAACCAAACATTATATATATATACATAATAATATATAATATATATTCTTAGCATATTCTTACCGGCAAACTTTCGTATACGGAAACAATTCGTTGAGTTCATGCTCTTCTTCAGAAATTTCTCACATTGTTCCTTAACCCAGGTAAACTGAAATAAATTCGAAGCGGCTAGCAAACCTTCAACGTTTTCTTCGGTCACCATAATAATCCCACTATACACGTAGTCAACGAGTACTTTTAACGCAATTATACCCGCATCTAATTTAAGATATCCTACTGATGTCTCCTGGACGTCATCTATAAAAGTTATGAAGTGTTGTTTGGCACTTTCCTTAATCGACTGACTTTCGAACATCGCTGCAAAATAAGGTGAAGCA